GCTCGACCAGTGCCACATTGGGGGGCAAGTGTTGAAGCGCAAAGATTGATGATGGAAAATGAAAATGTTTCTCATAATAACTTTTGCTCATTTTGGCAAATATTTTCAGTAGCAGTCGATTGAGGCTGCAGCTGTCTGACATCGTCATAATGCGTAGCTAATGTTGACATTTTCCAACGGTTCAATGGGCATCCGAATATCAACGTGTTGGTGCTTATCTATAGGCGCTAGGCCCGTCCCCCCGCTGACAAAGAAAAGTGGCTGCTGTTCATGTTGTTCTTGTTGTTGTTGTTGTTGCTGCTGCTGTCCTATTGTTTGATTGACTCGACTTAGCCTTTGTTTCAATGAGTCGAAACATCTTCATGATAACTTGTCCAAACAGTCGACAGAGACAAGCATAGAGAGAGAGAGAGAGAGAGAGAGAGAGAAAGTTTGAGAGAGGGAGACAAAGAGGCAGAGAAAGAGAGGGAGATAAAGAGGGAGAGGGAGCGAGCGAGAGAGGGAGGAGTGAGTGATTGATGTATAGAAGATTCTCCGAGTTCCTGCTGTTAGATTTGTTCTGTTCTTGTTCTTTTTATACTCTTATAGAGGGTATTATGATGTTCTTACGAGATGTGCAACGGATAGAAAAGTACATTTCCGAATACATACAGTGTATTTATTCTTTAATACTATCAACATCTGAATATATTGTCAAGTCTGTCTGTGGGCATGTCTGTTTCTAAGCAAACTAGTCTTTTAGCTGGTTGTTATTATTTATTTATTAAAATTAATTAAAATTTTAAAAAAGTTAATAGAAGTCTATAAGAAATGTCCTTGACAAAAGGTTGTCTATCTAGATATATTGGGTGAAGTCGGCAATTACGAGCTTTACAATTGTCTGCAAGGGTATTTTGTCTTCGGCTTAGCGAAAATAGTGGTTCTTTCTTGTTCATTTGTTGGTTCACTGCACGACAAGTGGCTCAAAATAATTTCGAACGTCATTTACTTGTCATTATACGAATATTGTAGAAAAATTCCATTGCCTGCCAGCCCATTTTGTGTTCTTATCGCCGTCACATCATTAGGCAACGCCCCGTTGTCCGCAGCGGGCCCCTCCGGCGCCGTCACAAACGAACAATGGGGACAATGGAAATGTGAAGAAAAACTCAAGTACGTGCGCTTTTCTTTTGCCCTGTCTGTGGATTTGTTTGCCAGGCAATTATTATCCTTATCATTGACACAAATCACCATTTAATTAGTCCAATGCCTTGGTGTCTCTTGTTTGTGCTTCTCATTGATTTGTTGACATTTTCCCAGTACCTGTTCCTGCCTGATGTCAGTTCAAATGGGACAGCTGTCCAGCTGGTAACTTTTAATAAATAATATAGTCGTCTGTCCCTGACAATTGATACATTACAAATGGAATATGTTGGCTTCAGAATTAAATGAAATTTAGAATGGACTAAAATAGTTTTATTAAATATATATCTATATATATATTTTTTTAACATTATTAGGAATAACATTATTAAAACAAGAAGTCTACAAATAATTATTTGTATTAAAGCTAAAGGCATGTACAAAAAGAAACTTCCCAAATAGAATTGTAATTAACGTGAACTTTATTGAGTGTATCAAAAATTTAGTTAAGACAGATTTGGACTCAGTATTATAATGTTTCTGTGAATATTAATTTTATGATATAGTATTTTTAATTTAACATGTTTAATTTAGAATACATTTACAACAAATGAACTAAAGATGTTATTATGAATTATGGACAATTGTTTAATTTCCCCACTATAAAATATAATAATCTAGTATCAAGAATTTATTTAGTTAATTGGATTGGAATGATTAATGTATTTCTTGTAACTTTTACCGCATAGTTCGGTTCAATTCCATTTGATTTAACCCAGGCAAGTTTTATAAAATTCAAGAATTTACTTAAGGCTCATCGCACTTATACTAAAATATGCATCAAATATTTTGAACTCTTAAATATAATAATAAATTACAGCAAAGTCTTTGAGCTCTAGCGAAATACTTTCAGGGCAAATATGTATGTATATTAGATAAGAGACACCTAAATTAATTGTAACACGATAACTTAATGTACATAAATACTTTCTCACCTGATACTGTGATACTTTTGAGTGTCGGTGTGAGTTGCAGTTGTTGGGCAATAAATCACAAAGGCCTGCGGCAAAAACATAAATTACAATTAAAGCTAAAGAAGTTATAATTATATGTTATCTCAGTTTTAGTCAGACCAAAAATATATCTGTATGTGCGGCAAGTACGAGTGTTTTAGCCTTTGCAACTATTAATAATATATGTGTGTGTGTGTGTATGCGTGGGTGTGTCTGTGTGTATGTATGTCGGCGACCTAACAACAACAGCAACAATTGAATTGGCTGCATGTGGCAAAAGTTCTGCTGTAGCTGCAGTCGCCCTTTGGCGCTCCATAAATCTGCATAAAACATGCCAAAGCTAAAGCCAAAAGTCCAACTAGTTGTTGTCCTTTGTTGTGGCATGCAACTTAATTAACATGTGGCACCAATATTTCATACCTTATGCACAGTGCTCCGCCGTGGTATGCTGTGTGCTTGTGTATCTTTAAGATATATACACATATATATACATGTACATGCATATATTTCTATATATGTATCTAAGCCGCTTAACTTGGCGCCATTGCGATTAGCTGACAGCGTCGACTTTTAGCACTTAAAATGCAGTTGCCATAAGCACTAAGCCAAGTCCAGGGCACATGGCACATGGTCAACTTGGCATCCGCATTCACGTATCTGCTGTAACTGTTGTCTCGCCATATTTATACTCTGAACGCGCTAAAACGGGCTATAATGGTATAATGTTTTTGTGCAAATGAATGTGACAGGCACAAGAAAGAAAGTGTCTGACATGAAATTTTAAATATATATTTTCCCATAGCATACGCGAATTGGGTTAAAATGTGTTAACAATATATACTAATAAAGTAAATCTAAATAGATATTTTAAGCAAAATTCAAAAATTAGTCTAGAAATATACTGAGATTGAGAATATATCAATAATTTTGAACAACTGCCCCCATTCCCCCAAAATTGTGATAGTTCCGATGTACTTATATCGCTTCTTCCTGTATGTACACACTTTCTGTTTTCCTAATTTCATAAGGATCAGGCACACAAACACTGAAGATATTCCAGAAGGCATATATATATAGGCATGCGGAAGAAGAAGCACAGTCGAAGCGTGTGCATCACATAAGGCTAGAAGCAAGAAACATTCTAGTTAGGCAGCTGGTAATTGCATTCAGGGTATCTGTTAGTTGGGTATTTCCGACTAGAGAATTCATACTTGTTTATAGCTAAACTTTCGCCTGGTCACGCCCACCTTTGCTGTTGTCCTGTTATCTCCTTTGACATTCCCTGCCACAGTTCATTTTGTTTTCACTGCAATTTCTTCCTTGTTGTACACAATTAACAGCTATTGCTGCTCCTGCTCCTGCTGCACCACTTGTCACCCCCATCCCAACCCCTGTTCCATTGTTCGTTTATTTGAGGGTGTGTGTTTGCGTTCTTAGTTGCTTGCTACTGGTGGGCGTGGCTCATTGTAATATGCGTTTTAGTTAGCAAACAGTGTTGTCCAGCATGGCCCTGCGCCTCATGAGTTTGATCCTTACGCTGCTCCTTGCTGTGACTTGCATAATGAGTTACATGCTTGTTGTGGTCTCTGTTCTTGTTGTCATTGTTATTGTTGTCATAAGCCCCTCTGCTGGGCTGTAACGTACCGTATACCAAATTTACTTGATTTGTATCTGATTTCCGAATTTGATAACTTTTTAAAATATATTTTTAGTCTAAGGTAAAACAAAATAAATAATATACATTTTTCATCATTTCGAACAATTTTACTTGTATTTATTTGTTAATACTTTATTCGTAAATAAATTCTAAAAATTTTGTTAAAATATATTTATTTTTTATTTGTTCCGCACTTTTTATTACTCCTTTAAATATATATTCAATCAGGGCCAAAATATACAAACATATTTTTATAATTTCAAAGTACTTTTCTTAAATTAAATGAATTTTTTATCCTGTTTTTATTTTGAAATACCTAAATCAATAAAAATGTTCATTTCTATGATATAATTAGTTTATTATCTGTTAATTTATAATTTGAATTATTTGTTAAAAAACATATCATATCAAAACCAAAATATGCAAATGCATTTTTCAAACTTTGAACACTTTCTTTTAATAATAAATACTTTTTTAAACGTTTATTTCGAATTAATTTATTTACTAGGAAATATATTGATGATTTTGAAAATACTATGTTTATTTTTTCGTTTAAATTTTTTACTACTACTTAAAATATAGTTGTATTCAGAGTAAAACATAATTTTGTGTTGTAATATTTTTTATTTTTTTATACTCGTTTTCTATTTTCTATTAATTTTACGAGTCGGCGTGACCACGTGTTCTCCTCTTCTTTTTTCTAAAGTGCTTCACTTCTATTTTCAAAAATACATATACATGTATTTTCCTTTTATACTTATACTTTACAACACTAGACATTGTATATTGTATACTGTATACTGTATATTGTCTTAAAGCGCTGGGTTATTTTCTGATAATAAATGCCTTATTCATTCAGATTTACTCTCGTTTTTTTTTTTTAATATTTTAATTTTTTTCATTTTTTATTTATATTATTTGCGTCCGGGTGCGGAAGACAGTCAGATCGCCTAGAATGATTCAATTCGTTTCTCTCTTTGTCTCTTTACAATAATATGTTCAAAATAATCAAAACGTAAATTGTGCAGTTGATAACACCAAACGTTGCTTCTTTATGTGTCCGTCACAGACTCTCTATCAACAATATATATTCTGTAATTTAAACATGCACTTACAATCAATATTTTTGTTGATAAGGAATTTGCAAAATTATAAAATGCAAGAGATGTGCAATCAATCAACAGTATTTAAAAGTTAGCTCGGCGAAACGAGCTTTGAATTCTGCTATGTATTCAATAAAATTAAATGTGAAGTTCTTAATTTTGCTTATTTACGCACCGCTGCAAATTTGTTGTGGCAGTGATCCAGCTACAAACTTGGTTAGCAAAGCCAATTAGCTGTAAATCAGTTTTGAGTGAATCATTGAATATTATGTTTCAGAGTTGTGCCGCAGATAAGGATTTGGATAGGAAGTGTCAATCCCATTGTTACCGTGTGGTTAAGCCTCTCCTTCAGCACGCATCTGACGTGTACCAGAAAGAACAAGAGCATTCAAACTTACTGGCAAAAATTCAACAACAAGAGATCAATATCAAAAGCATCCAAGCTGACCAAGCCATTCTACAAGCTAAAATTGATGACCAAAATCATTCATTAACAATATGCAAAGATCAGTTAGCCGATAAAGATGCGCTTATCGAACACAAGAACGCTGTTATCAAAGAATTGCAAATCAAGCAAGAGGTCAAACCAAAGACTATGCAAGTAGATCAAGACAATCTACAAGCTAAAGTTAAATCCCCAAAAAGTTTATTAGAATCATACGAAAGTCACCTTAACTCTAAAGATGCGCTTATCGAACACGAAAGAGAAACCTGTTCAAAGCTTTGCGATTCAATGTTGGCTAGATTGGATTGGACCGTTGTCCCGAGGCGTAAAGATGGCAGAGTTAACTTTAATCAAACGTGGAGCGAATATCGTCAAGGATTTGGTAATCCGCAAGGAGAGTTCTTTTTGGGGCTTGAAAAGCTGCATATGCTTACCAAGAGCCAACCACATGAGCTCTTTATATATCTACAGAACTTTGAAAACCAAACTAGTTTCGCTCGTTATGATCATTTTCTTATAGGCGATGAGAGTGAATCGTTCAATATTAAATCCTTAGGAAAATATAGTGGCACTGCTGGCGATGCACTGATATATCATAAAGGCATGAAATTCTCTACGATTGATCGCAAAAATGATCTCTCTGAGTTCCATTGTGCGGCTGAATGGTCTTCCGGTTGGTGGTTCAACAAATGTTATCACTGGTGAGAATAGGCGTACTATAAATGCACATCGCTTTTAATTATGCTTTGAAATTTTCTAGTAATCTGAATGGTGTATATAGAGATGAAAGTAGTTCTTTACATCATGGAATCAATTGGTATACCTAGAATGCAGAAGGACGTTTGTCGTTTGTACAAATCATGATTAAACCAAAGAGACTTTGAAAGTTGCCTGTAAAAGTTCTCTTATCGATTACTTTCATTACAATTTTGTTATGAAAAGTATAAACTATCCGGAATATATTTTTAATTAATTAAAGGTTGCCTATTTAGCGCATGTCGAAGAAATTAAATAATTTTTATTTTTTTAAATAAATTTTGCACAGACTAGGTTGACTCGACTTTTAAAGCTGACAAAGGATATGCTTCCTGCTGACAGCTACATACATTTAAACAAAATTATTTTACTATTTCATTGTCAATGGGTTCAAAGAAACCGAATAAATTCACCAAAAAACACATGTTGTTCTTTCTAGACTTGTGTTACTTAGCTTGTGATAGATTTACAACACCCTCTACAAGAGTATACAAATAAAATGCCAGCTGGCTAAAGACAAATTCAAGCAAAAATGTTTAACAGAACATAGCACAAAAGTGAAAGCAGCACAGAACTGTGGCTATCAGGACCCAATGCAACTGGCAACTGGCAACTGGCAACTGGCAACAAATGATTTAGAAAATGATTTATGGCACATTCATCTAATTACCACAATGCCCGCAGAGCCGAGCCGAGCAGTCGCAGAGAGTGGCAGCTCCATGGTGGCTACACTGACCAGGAGCCAGCCGGCAAAAAGCCAAAGCAAGGCTGATGACAATTGTGAACGTTTTGTTGTGCGTGCCGGTGGCTGTGGCTGTGCGTGTGTATCTGTCTGCGTGGCAGTGTGTGTACAACACCATGGCTGACATTAATGACGCATGCCATCAAAGTCAGTTGGTGGAAGGGAGCAGGAGAAGCAAGCCTGTTGCTAAGCCTTTTTCCGCGAATGCAACACATCAATCTCAACATCAGCTGGCTGTCCATGGGAATAGGGGATGGATGCTGCTGGTGGGGTTGATAGGGAATCAGGGTACAATGATACGGTACGCGTATTAATATCGCATCAATTATAATTTTCATTTGGCAGCCGGCCTAGTTGACAACCAAATGCGTTTTAGTTATGTGATTTGTTGCAATTTTAGCTACCTCCTGCCAGAGTGCCAGAGCCTGCCCCCGCACCCAGCACACCCACGCGCCCTGTATTTTATTCGTATGTTTCCGGCTAGTGTGATAAATTTGCAATAGCAATTTAGCCTCTATTGGTATTTAATTTAGGTTTGCAACATTCCGCCAAAGCAAACAAAAAACGAAATGCAACATTACATTCTTTGTTATTGATTTACCATTATGGCCATGTTTGTTTGACATTTGTTTTCGGACAATGTTATTGACAGTTTTGGCTAATGACTGCTGCCAGCCAACCTCAATTTGCTGCCTTATCCTGTAATTGTTTAGGACTGTGATTGAAGTCCTGTCAATGTTTAATATCCTTCAAATCAGATCAGTTTCAAATTGCTTCTTATAAATTCCATAAGCAAGATTTAATCGAATTGAAGTCTAGTTTGTTCAGACTTACTTTCACTCATTTGCCAAATATATATTTAAATCAATATAATCTACAAAAATACACATTTTAATGCAAAATGTACTATACAAAATATTAATATATTTAATTTAATATATATATATACATATATATATATTCTCCTACATCATATGCAAAATCGCGCATGAGGTTACAGGAGAGCTATGTGCATCATGTAGTATATATGCACAGCATAAATATATTTTTAATAACTTCACCGATTCTTTCCAAAATTAAAAAACGTATTTTTAAAGCTACAGGCTTATGATTTGGTATATATATAATATATATATCTTTAATATGTAACCAAGGTCGGGCAACAAATGTGGAAGTTCTATAACATTATCTTTGTAAAACTGTGGCGCAGGTGGAAGCCGCGCTGCCGCATTTTGTATTTCGTATATTTTGAAAAACATTTTATCTCTAACTTTTAAGCCTTATATAAATATCTATGTTAATATTTTAAAACGTCACAAGGATTTATAATATTGTTTTGTTTCTCTAAGCATACAAGCATTTATTAAAATTTAATGTATAATACAAAACATGTTTTAATTAAATTAAAAAAAATTTAAATTTATGATAATAAGGCCATTCGGCTTAAGGGCAAACTAAGTTCTTCTGCTTAAAGTCCACCTAAAGCAGCTTTTCTGACAAATAAAACTTGCACTGTGCGTGGGAATTGCTTTAAGCATATCGCAGCCATTGAAACAAATCGTAAATTTAATTCGAATCAAAACTTCGCATAGCAGATGAAAACAGAGTTTTCCAAGCAGAGTTTTCAATGCTGCCGCTGTTTCCCCAGCATCTGTCAGAAAAATAAACAGAACTGCAAATTTTATCGTGCTGAACGTTTATGCGCAAATTGCTTCCAGGTTTCAGCGATGTCTTTCTGCGTGTCTATCTGTCGTCTTATCGAATTTCAGACAACGACGACATTGAGGATGATGCCAGGACTCAGGACACGGGACAACAGACTCCAGGACTCCGCGCAAGCAGTTGACAATGGGCGCCGCCGATTTTGCTTGGCATGCTGCGCGGCATAGTAAAGTTTCTTTGCTCAAGGCGTGAAATGAAATCGACAGTAATTTGTGTTTATCTCACTCAATATAAACTATATATATATTTATATATATGCGTGTGAGTGTGTTGAAATAACAATTGTCACAACTTGTGCTAAAAGTTCTACAACAGGAAATTACTTTAATTTGTGAACTTGACTTTATCTACACTGCACGATCTGAAAACTTGTGTGATTGCAAGCCACAAATAGTATTTCATCTTTGGCTTAAAGTCAATAAGCCAACTTCATCATATTGCCATATGTCTACTTTGGGACTAGATGGATATGGAAATGGAACCGTCTAAGTCGCTTTGATGGCGCATAAGTAAAGTGGCCATGAATAATTCATGCCCTATTTATACAAAATCGAAATGATAATCGTGCACTTTAGCATTTAAATCAGAGAGAGAGAGAGAGAGGGAGAGAGAGAGAGAAAGAGAGAGAGGGAGAGAGAGAGAGAGAAAGAGATGCTTCCTTGCCACCTAGAGCCATGAACCTGAAGGGTTGCTGTGCTGGGGTGGGAAGTGCAAAAAGCAAACAAATTTACATAGAATTCGAGTGAGCGACGTTTCTGGATGGTTAAATTATTGAATAAAGCCATGTCGAATGCCTAAACGGAAAACAAAGCCCTTTTGGGGGTAGCTCATGTCAGGTATGAAAAGATCTGCATTTAACTAAAAGGTTAACGCTGCAGGATTTGTTGAGCATAGTCCTGCGGTAAGTAATCAGATGTAAATAATTTAGGGATGTCAACTTAACTTCTGGTATATAATATCATAAATTACATTTAATGTGTCGAGAGATAGGTAGTAAAAAACCGAATTCAAATGTTTTGTACTTTGTTTTAATTAAAGCAAAAACATATAGTAAAAATAGAGAAACAATTGGGTTTGTTTTATTTACTCGAAGAGCTTAACCTTGATCCCACTTAACCTAAAATTTAATATATATAATTTAACAACCATCTCTAAATTTAACCTTATGATGTATTTATGTGGCATTTGATTCAAATTTTATTTGACACTTTTGCAATTGCCCCATCCGTTAAGTTGCCTTTGCATATCGCTCAAATGAAGCGATAACCATCTATAATTATGACACTGTGAGCAGCTGTAGTCGCTTTTCATTTCCTTGCCATTACCGTTACGCAGACTTGTTGCCGCATGCCGCATGCCGCATGCCCCATGCCAGTTGCCACTTGCCACTTTGCCACTTGCGAGGCCAATTGACGTTTATGGCTTGTGCGGGCATGCAAGGCCGTCGATAACACGCCTCACTAAGCGCTCGAAGGAAAACTGAACTCGAGTTCAATGTGAAGCCCGTTGCAGATGCGAGCATTCAATGTGCTCAAGAGTCAAGCTCGTGTAGGTACGAGTATTTATTCATAACTGGAGCAATGCTCAACCCGCTGTCCGTCCTTCTCACGCATTGGTCGGGCTGTCAAGCATGCATTTTTGCATTAAATTGTCCTTGTTGAAAGGAAATCGCATACACTTAATGCGCCAGTAAAACCGATTTGCATGAGCAGTGGGCGGGATAAGCAACTCGCATCGCATCGCATTGTTGTCAGCAGCTGCTGAAATGCATTTCGCTTGACAGTTGATAAACGACATGAGTACCGAGCACTGAGCACTGAGTACTGAGTACCAAGTGCTGAGTACTTAGACCGTCGGGCTTACTTAGCTTCACACATGCAAAACTGGCAGAGAGCGGAAAATCCTACAATAGATTTTCGCAGTCTTCAATTTGGGAATGCCCCAAGTGCTGGAGTGACTGATGGATGATTGTCTGACGTTTGTCCCATTTCTTTCTTATTTTTTTTTCTCTATTTAGTTTTTTTCTTCTATTTTTATCGCGCACTTGTTGCGGAGCTTTCGCATAATTTATGATCTTTACTGTAATTGCCTTATTTTATGTCTGCACCCGGCAAAAGATTTAACGACCCAGCAAACCCGCCCCCGTTCGGCTCCTGGCCATCTATGTAGGCGTTGTCGTCTTCTTATCATGTGGCACATTACATGGACGCAGGGCGCAGGCAGGCAGGGCTGTGGCACTTAAGCCCTTTAAAATTTATGTCAAATGCATTTGTAAAATATGCCAAACGTACGAGTGGTAAAACCGATTTCTGCGCCATTTAAACTAACATAGTGGCAAGAACAGTGGTAAAAGACTTGTTTGACTGTTCCAAACACAGGCTAATTATTATAATAGCTATAAACAGTAACAATTTTATAAACAATAACAATTAAATCAAAATCTATCTACAAGTAAAATGTAAATACCGAGTTTTATATAATTATTTTTAATTATTAAGTGTTCAAATACAAAATTTTTGAATTCAAGATTTCACTAGTTCATCAAAATTTGTTAAGATTTGCAAGATTTAGAAAGCACTTAGTTACTTTATGTGATGAAGTACATATATGGAACCTCAGATCAGCCACAAACTAATTTTCAAAGACCTTTTTTTAAATTGATTTGAGAAGTGTTTCATACTTTTCGGTATAATGGAAAGTCAAATGGCTTGTGCTTGATTTTGCAGCATTCAAGCTTCCATAAAATAATTTTAAATCCAAAAGGTTTTCGAACAAAAACATTGTATGTAAAATAGAAAAGTGAGAACGTTATTAGCAATGAAAATCATATAAGTATTAATTATCATTATTAGTATTTTGGGCATTTTTGTTCATTGTTTTATTATTAAGTATATTTTCTCTAATTTGAAACAATTCCCAATTATTCTAAGAAATTCATATTTAAAAAAAATGTGTTATATAAATATGCTTAAATTTGGATTAACCTTTACCACTGTTCAATAAAATCGCCCGACCGCCAATGCCGCTGCCAATGGAAAACGTTTTCCGCCATCGTTCGAGTAAAAACAAAGTACGACCAAGCAAAAAGAAAAGAGGCAACAAAAAAATCTTTGTGCATTTTCGTGCAGTTGGTTGTGGGAAATGTTCGTGCAAGGAAAATGTAATTTTTACTGCACGTTTGAGTTTGGGAGCCACACATAAGCATGTGTGTGTGCGTGTGTGTGTGTGTGCATACATATGCATATAAGTCGCAAATGCAACAAAATGGCGACAGGCGGCCACGTTCTTTGTCTCTCAGCGTGTGTGTTGTCTTTATCAGCATCGTTCTCATCGTCCTCATCGTTGTCGTCGTTTGTGTTTTTGCTTGGCTTTTATAGAAAATACATTTTCACATTTTTGCCTGTAAGCAGTCGGCAGCGTCTAGCACTAAGCATGCCCCGTATCAAACGTTAAAATAGGGTATGCGCATAACGAATCAGCAGAATCAGTCAAATAATCACAACATCAAAAATATATATTACAACATATAAGAATATTGTAAAAAACAAACTAGAATATTGTGTATCTCGCAAATATATTTTACTATAATAATATTTACCAAGCTGGCAAATATGGATCTTAGACTGCTTAATTTCCAATCATATGAGGATTACCTGAAAGCGCTCATTAAAACTGAGGACTATAGATATCTATCGGCTATGCAGCCCATTAGAAAGCTGGTGAATCTCGGCTATCGCTGCAGCAGCAAAGTATACGAACAGAATGAATTTCACAAACTCCAAAAACAACTGCAAGAGCATATTAATCCAAAGATCTCTTCGAGCGTCCTCTATGGCAATTACTTCAAAGGTACCGATGCTGGCTTAAAAGCTTTGGTGGACCGTGAGGAAGCCAATTTGTTACAGAAACTATCTGTAAGCATATATATATATATATATATATATATATTTATATATTTATTTATATGAGGATTTCCTTCATATCAAACAGTTTGTTTATACTTGCTTTTGCGCAGACCATTATCTTTCTGCAGGTGCAGCAGCGAAGTGGCTTCGACTTATCCGGCTATATAGACTATGAAAAAAGTTTGCGCGACTGCTCCTTAAAGGTGCCCAATCGCACGAATTGGAGGGCCGTGTTTGAGGGTCGAGCTAGGCTGCGTCCGAAGCCAAACGATTTGAGCTTTTACGACTGGCATAGAAATGTCTTATGTTATAATGATACCTATAATTTCGATATCGTGCGTAGCAGCAAAACCTTAATGTTCAAGCATAAATCCGATCACAAGCTTATTCCAGTATGCGATAGGCCCAATCCGTACTCCGAAAATGTTACTCGAGTTATGATTCCCTCCGAAATATATGGTTATATTATTTTATATGATCACATTATAAGATGAAAAAATATTGTTAATTTTTAAAAAATATTTTATTTTTTCACACAGAATAAAAAGTCCCTCTTAATATTTATTCCTATAATCTATGCTCGATAGGAGCACTAATTACTTAAAATTAAAATTAGCACAACTTTAATCAAACTTTAAAATTATAATCTGAAGACAAGTTAATCTCGCCATATACTTCAGATGAGAACTCGAAACTCGGTATATAGAAATAAGATTGACCTTCTCTGAAAAATCAAGTTTCTATTTCAATACAATTCGCATTATATTTAAATAGATAAAAACTTATATATGATCACGAAATACTTAAGTATTCAAACGATTTAACATTGATATAATAGTTAGCAATTATTACTGGGAATCTGAAGGTCGAGCAACATCTAATTTAACGTTCTTTGTTGTTTCCATTCTTTATCTTATGCAAATAATGCATGCTGCATGCGAAAAAATTCTTACCGAAGCTTATGGCTGGCTGGATAGGCAGGTGTGTGTACTAGTTTGTGTGTGTGCGTGTGTGTTACACACACGTGATAGTGCTCTAAATTTGGTCACGAAATGGCAAAAATGTTTTTGGCATTAAAGAAGTGGCAACGATGGTGCCCAGCGAGACAGATAGACAGAAGGAGGCTTTTGGCATAACTAAAGTTTTGCCTTAAATTTGTTTTTTCAATGGAAAATCTAAAAAGAAAATATTTTTACACATATATAAACATATATATAAATCAATACGCACTGCTGTGCAAATATGTTTGTGCGTGCCAGCACAATATATATTGAGCAAATAAAATGGCACCAACAAGCACGCACCATATTGTATTTATGTAAATTTATTTCCGTTACATTTCCGCCTTTCAATTGAAAATCGTCGTGTGATTTTCTTTCTTTACCCTTGCGTATATTTGCACTGCTGTTCCACCCCCAGCCCAAAAAAAAGTTGGCCCAGAAATCACAGCAGGCTGTTAAACATTCAAAAAAAAAAAAAAATTAATAAATAAATAAAACAAACACAAAAAGTGAAAAGAAAATACTTGCGCAAAAACTACAAATATGCATCATTCTTTTATAAATATTCGTTTGGCCGGGCTCGTTCCGAAGGCCGCGCTGCGAGACTGTTCGCTCTGTCATGTAAATCGTGGCAACTCAATCTGAATGTTGCTTTCGAGCTGTAACTGCGAATTATTGTTTCAATTTATAAGACTTCAGCAGAGCAGTATGCGAAAATATGTCAATGTTGCCAAAATTCGTAACTTTAAGTTTAAGTTTTTCAATCACATATTTTGGGACCACAATTGGCATGCACTTAAGCGAGTTGTTGAGAAACGTAAAACCAGAAGTTAAATTCAATTTAACCGGATGCTAAAAATAAATAAAACTTGTTATTGATAAATAGTGAATCATGTTTGTGGTTACTAGATATAATAAACGTATAAAATAATAACTAATTCATCAATTAAAAAAATTTTTTGCTAAAATATTTGAGTTTTTTCCAAAGTGAAGCGTCCCTAATATGTGTGCAATAAAAATAAATCCCGGTACTTTTATGGGCAATGTTTCTGTGTTTAATACAATTTGCATTATCAATTCACTTTAGATAGGTGGAATAGCTTGAGTTTTTGGAATTGTTGAAGAAAATTTGTAAGCAAGAAATTAAAAAAGCTAAGGAAACATGCACATTACATTTACACAAAGAGTCCCTTAGTAGAATTACCCCTGTAAATAGCTTAAGTATAATTCCAATCAAGTCAATTTCAGCTTCTAAATTGGCTTGAAACTAATTTAAATTTAATATTTTTTTAGCTTGCTCAGTGTCCGGGATTGAATTTATTAAAATTGACAATTAAAAACTATTTCGTTTAATATGTATTTCTTCGATTAATTTCAGTTGCGCCTTGGCATCCGTCTTAAGGCCACTAGCACAACAAAAAAAAAAAAACAATTAACATTAAAATAAATTAAATGAAACAATCTTATGAAATGCATTATTTTACACGTCTGCGCTCCTTTGCGTGTCGGTTGAAAGTGTTTGGCCGTTCAATAATTGTCTGTACAATACTTTTTATTCTGATTTGTGTCAACCAATTAAGGCGTTGACTTGAGTTTGAAGCGCCTTGCTTAAGTCTAAGCGGATATTTAAAGTGTTATTAATAGGTCTGTTTATAAGATAACATATTTGGACGTTGAATATTTTTTTATAATTAAAAGCAAATTATTTCACATTTTTACTTTGTGTCTCCATAGATGAATTCAATTTAGAACAAACAATTGATTCAGCTGCACTTTGTATAAATATAAAAAAAAAAAAACAAAAATATAGGTCATTATTGAGAATTTTGTAGATTGAAATGAAATTTCTACTGAAATTCAACAGCTTTCTTTGCTTATATGATGGGCGATATGTTTGTAGAGTCGTCGAAACGAATTCATTTCATTTGCTTTATTGTCATATCTAAATTGTTTTGCTCTTGGTTCTTTGTTGTTGCTCAAAAAGACAAACAATGAAGAGCTTATTGTTTTTCAAACAGATGCACACAAAGACAAAGAACCTCACACACTCGAACACTCACACACTCGCACACTCAAACACACACACATACAGACAGCCAGTTGTTGTCTATTCATCAGACCCAAAAGCCCGATAAGAGCATACGTGTAGCTGATGGATAGGAAATTACAAAATTCTCGAATGCACATTGTGCGCTTAATTAAATGCCCGAAAGCAGGCTCTTGTCACCAGCGACGAGTAGAGAAAATAACGAGTAACAAGTAACGAGTATCAAGTAACGAATAGCACAGCAACAGCAGCAGCTCATTATTATTGTGATTATTTTCGGCAATGGACCCGAATAGAGGTGCCTTGTATTGAACTGGAGCTCCACTGCGGCGCCTCTGGTGCAATAACAATAGCAAATGCTCATCAATGCGGTTGGCTGCCCATCAAAATGGGCGCACATGGCGGCTGTTCATGTTGCCAGCTGCCTCAACACATGGATTTAATTTCCTTAACTGCACTCCACTCCCACGGCCATCCAAAAACTATTTAAGGTTTAATGCGTGTGCGGCCTGACAAACTCATTTACCATTTACCATTTATGGAGCCGTTACACTACAAAAACTTTTGTGTTGATAAACTTGCAACATTTTGAGGCTGCAACTGGTGCTGTATGTTGCACCAAGTGTTGCCTAATAATCCAAAAATGGACCAACTTGGCGGCCGCAAAACTTTTACCCAACTGCGTGTACACACTGGCTAAGAAGTTTTGCCCGAGTGTAGCCGGGATAAGTTGAGACAACGCTGACAGCAGGCCAGCAGGCGAGGGGGCAAGGGCGTCCGGCAACTGCAGCTGCAGGCCAGAAACATTGGCACATTCATCATTTTTGAAGCCGAGCACAAGGCAGCAGAGTGTGGCAGCAACAACAGCCGCGGCAAGTTCTTGTCACATGTCACGTCGCCAGCCTCAGTTGTTGGCCAGAGCCCGAGCCGGAGCCGGAGCTGAAGCTGCTGCCGCTGACGAGGAACAGGCCTCTGGAATTTTCGCCACTGGCATTTTTCGCATACTGTTGAAAAGTTTTCTCTGCAATTCAAAGAATTTTTGGCATGCACTGTATTAAACTGGCGCTTTAAACTTGCATTCATTTCAGCTTGAATGCGGCAACTGTTTAAAAGCTATAAAAAAAAAACTGTGAATCGGTTCGAAAATTGGGTCGTATACTAGATCATTAAAATTGTGGGCACAGCTCAGTAAATATAAGGGCTAAATGAAGGGCTAAATAAGGCGAGCCAAAATCTTGTTTCACGAACATAAAAAGGGGCTAAATAAGGCGAGCCAAAATCTTGGTTCACGAACATAAAAAACCAGGTTGAAACATCTTGACCATAGCTATAAAGTTGTTGATGTTAAATATTAATATTTTCCTTATATTTAAAGAGGTACTTTTTATATAAGAATACCACAGCAGATAGTTTTTAGTTAAAATGTGAAAATATATATTTTTGAGGGGGTCTGAAAGATACATAAATCAGTTCGTTCTTCTAAATTTTGTGTGTATGTGTGTGTGCCTCTGCGTGCCTCTCTGTGTGTGTGTGCCTAAGTTAATCGGTGAGTGTGTGCATCAATGAGTTCGTTTGTGGTCAAATGCTTAACCCCGGAGAGGTCTGCCGTTGCGCCTTCTGATGTTATTACGACGACGGTTGCCAGCGCGATTCCTGCGACCGCCACGACGACGTCCGCCACGACGACGACGGCTGCTCCTGTTGCGGCGAGGACCACGGCGAGTGCCACGGCGCACCACACGTCTGGCGCGAGCATCATCATTGCTGGGCCGGACCACGGTCTCTCTGAGCGCATTCTGCCTGTTGTCGGGCACGGTGCGTTGCTCGTTTTCCTGCGCCTGGACTGGAGCAGCTTGGTCCTGATCGCCCTCTTCCTCCTGCTCCACCTCCTCGTCCAGCTCCTGGTCCTCTGCCTGGCGTCCTTCAATCTCAGCCGTCTTGTTTTCGTCCGCCTGCACGACCGCAGCGCGTGCCAGACCGTTGCGACGCTGAGCTGCTGCTTCGGTGGCCACCAGGCAGCAGAGCGCCGCCAGGGCAAAGATCAGTGCGTACTTGATTGACATGCTCAGTCCAATTGTGTTGCTTGTGGAAGAACACCGGAAATGTGTATGATGCTTCAGTTGCACCATCGTCAGTGTTTTATAGTGGGCTCTATGTTTGGGTTCGTCTCGTCGGCAGCCAACTGTACAAATGTTTGTCCACTGCAAGTGACGGCGTCCATTGAGGGGTTGCCGCCAGCTGTGTTTTTTTTTTTTTTTTGCTGCTGCCCGCAGCTTGTTGGCCATGCTATTAATTTGATCTTTTGTTTGTTGTTGCCTCTTAGCTGCCAGATAGATACTTATTTTCTTGGCTTTCAGTGCAATACGGCTTCCACTTTCATTTCCTTCGATTCCCGCTCATTCGCTTTGTTGCCCTGCAAATCGCTTGCTCCTGCTCCTTGGTTCAGATAATTGGTTTCTCCGGCACCAGCTCCATTACAAACCAAGCACGCTAACCCGTTTGCCAACGGGAAATATCATCTAAAAAGAATAACGTAAATAATCGAATTGTGCACAAAAGCATTTTTAGTTGCGTTTTTCCGCGTCTTTTTTTTTTCAATCTCCCTCTTTGATTGGGCTTTTGTAATTTTCTTTCCGTTGGCCATTCGATGTGTAAACGTCTTATCAGGGTACATAAGACTGTCCAGCGGCATTTTATATGACATGATTAAAAAAATATTATGATTATAGATAGTTTCGGCATAGGTAAGCGAGTGTCTTTGAAAACTATATATGCAAATAATATATAAATCTGTCAATGGGCAGACGGTAAAAACCTCAATAAATACACAACCTTATTTTATCTGATTTATTTGCCTAGCTATTAGTTATTGAAAACATTTTGTGTACTTTAATATTTAAATTCATATATATTTACATAAACTTGCTTAAATATTAATAGAATTTATAGACTATCAAAATAATTGAGATATTAATTTTATAACATTTAAAATATTATAATATTTATTAATATTTTCATGAGGATTTCAAAGGGCCCAAGTCATATATACTTAATATACTTGAGAATATTGCACTTAAACATAAAAGTTATGGGCTACCTTTTATTCTTACTTTACTTGCTTGAGATATTAATTTTTTTGAATTTGAAGTTGTTTTTGGTTTAATGTTTCCATGAGGATTTTAATGGTCTAAACTTTATTTCCTTATTTTGAGGACATTTTACTTGAATAATTTTACATACAATTTTAAATTATTTGTTGTTAATATGAGGATTTCAAAAAGTCTTAGGTATATATCTTGTATTTTGTACCTAAATCTTAAAATCCATCGTCATCGTCTATATTCCCATTTTTGAATGATTGCGATATTTAATTTGAAGTTTTTATAGATTTTCATCAGCTTATGATTTAAAATGCCTTGTTCACTTTCGAAGTAACTTACATTTATTTATTTAATATACAGTGCAGGTGAAAATACTTGGTTGGAATAAATTTCGTGTAATATTTACACATAAATCAAATTGGGAAGCATAAATTTTTGCTATTTAAAAAGTTTGACAAATCACTTTTGTAATTTCCATGAATATTTTACTAGGTATTAAGTGCATTGTTTTGAAGTCTATCAGTATGTATTGTAACAATGAGCGCACTTTAATTTATCTTTGGTTATCGGCAAATTAATTTACCAAGCAAATCATTTTCATGTTTACATTTTTGTTATCCTTTTGCTGGCGTTTTGCAGATCAGAATCAGCGACTATTAAAAACTGCTGAGCAAACAGCTTGCAGCCATTTACTTGTGCCTTCGAATGAATTACAAATTGGCAGCAAGAGGAGCAAGATGTGCTGGAGCAGTGGGCCACACCGACTGCTGAATACACTCGGAATGCTCAAGCTCGTATTTTGTATTTTGGCCCGTTGCCAGCAATCAAACATATTTATTGCGCTTAAGCGCGTTGCCAATAATTTCTGCTTTGGCAGCTGGGGCGGAACGGGCCAGGACAAACATTTAGAGCCAGTTGAAGCACGTGCAGCAAGCGGAAATCACGTGGCTGCCATTTGTTGAAATGATTTAGAGCTGTTTATTTTTTAGCCAAAGCATCTGCTAGACTTTATTTTTTCTCTCACCAGCTGCTGAGATTTCCTTTTTATTTTTGATTCGGTCAAGGCAAATGGCTTGGCATGACAGCTGCCCTTTGTTTTTCACATTTTATTACTATCTGGTAGTTTGTCAAGCAATTGAAGCTAATCCTTGTGCATCAGAGCGAGTGTTATTTACGCCGTAAGTACTTGCGAGCAAAAACTAATTAAAAATCGCTTAATTTTTGCACAAAAGAGGTTTGATGTTGCTTCAGTTTCGCCAAGCTCTGGCTATTAAGAGTTTAATTGACTGACACGAAATGGAAAATCGAATTACCTTCCAATATGTTTTTCTTTCTATGAAGCTCAATAATACTCGAAGAAGATTTTTTTTAAAAAAAATATAATATATTTATACAGAAATATAAAATAATATGTATGCATTTTTATTCTTTTTTATTTATTTGTATAGAATATATAAATAAATATTCAATTTATGTATATCTCTCTATACATATACTGAAATTATACATTATATATATAAGTATATATAATTTTTTGGACATGAGATTAAAAATCGTTACAAATACATAGTATATATAATGATTTAATTCTGGTAAAAGCTATAGAACTTTTGTTATCTTGTGTGAATCCAAGTAAGCTGTAATTTGAAGCTTTGCTTAAGGTCGGAGAAAATAAATAAATGTATAGCATATTCCACAGTAAATATGTTGAAAAATGCACATAAATATTTTTAGTAAATATTTCATGATATTTTAAAACGAACGAGCACCACCTTTGCAACATGTCCTTTGAGAACGTGCCAACCCCCGAAGATGCTGAAGAACCGGAAGAGAACGATCGCGTATTCCCAGAAACAGACCCTGCCGAAACACCATTAAGACACATACCCGGAATCAATATCGATAGCGATGACGAGCTGGCCAATGTGCCCGCTTGGAGTGGATTAAATGTGAGTGGCAATGCGGATGAATTGGAAGCCCTACGTTGCATTGTGTGCAAGACGATGCCGTTCACGACGCTCTATCAGTGCCAGCACGAGCATCCTATCTGCGCCGGTTGTTATCAGATGCGCGTGCTGGACAAGATGCTCGGCGCCCAGCTGGGCACCTGTCCGCAGTGCGGCGTTCGCATCTATCGGCATGAGCCGTACCGCAACCTCGCGGGCGAGCACACGCTCGCCCAGCTGATGGTGGCCTGTGAGGATTGTGGCGTCCACTTGCAGCGCAGCTTGCTACGCAAGCATGGACTGGAGGATTGCCCCCGGCGGCTGGTGCCGTGCAAGTACAGGCGCATTGGCTGCAACTGGAAGGGCATGCTGGGCGAAGCTGTGGCGACACATGAGGAGAGCTGCGAGTACCATGGCAAGCAGGGTCTGCAGCTGCTGGACGAGCTGCAGCAGCGCCAGGAGCAGCGCGACGCCAAGCAGTGTCTTTTGGGCAAGATAATGAAGCTGCTGCAGCTGCCACACATCACAGTGCGCCTGCTGCAGTTGTTGCCGCAACTGGAGGGCTTTCCGCGCAACAACTTTAAGACTTGCGCCATGTTCGAGGCATTCAGCCAGCGCTGGTCCGTGCAGCTCAAATGGCAGACACCGACCGATGTCGAGGAACCAGCTGACCAGGCTAACTGTCCCTGCAGTTTGCTCTTTCAGCTGTGCCTCGAGTCGCCCGACGGTTGCCGCGGTCCGCTCGGACTTACCTACACATTGGTCAGTGGCACCCACTCGGATGTGCGATTCCAGCCGAATCTGTGCGAGAAGTGCGACTTCACACGGGAGAATGTGCTCGGCCCGCTGACTCCACTCTATCACAACTCTTGGCAGAGCTGCGCCAAGCTATTAAACGAACGCGGTTTTTTCGGCCGTCTGCTTATGGCTCGTATATAACATTTACATATTATTTTCTATTGATTCACATATATTATATGTTTTCCGCTAGCTCTACTGAGAGCATTTGATTTACCAATTTTTGTCACATTCGCAATCATTTTACTAGCTGATTCCACTGCACCACTGCGAACATTTGATTTTCCAATTCCTTTTTGAGTCCCATTCGCAAACTTTTTACTGCCTATGCGTCCACTGACAACGAACATTTGCGAATGGAATCGTAGAATATGAATTATTGTAAATGTAAAAAATATTTGTGATAACGAGTTCCATCTACGTATTTCTAGCTCGCAACTTGTTTTAAATAATAATTATCTAATTACCTTAAATAATTTATCTAAATACTTTCCCACAAATAGGGCATTTTTCCCCACCAGTAAAATATTTATTGAATATATTTAAATTGTGTAAATACATTTTATAATGTACCTGAAATTTAGATTGGAATTATGCCACAAAGAAAAGCATTGAATTATTTTAGTTTCTGGTGATCAATATTTTCAAATTCGTTAATTGCGGAATGAGCAGTCAGACCGGCTTTCTTACAACGTGATCGTATAAAATCAGTGTGCCCATGGATGAGGCTTGTATCATACTGCGCTTAACGGAACCAGTTCCATGATGCGAGTCCAAATGAATTACCTTGTGATCGCCCCTGTGCATAAATGCCATGGACTGCCCGAAATGCATTGTCTGATAATTTCCACTATTGTTGCTGATGACGAGTTTCTTATGCAGGTCGTAGTAGCTCAAATCAGTGGGCTTGGGTCGCAATTTACACCTGCCCTCAAAGACGCCCTTCCAATTGGTCGCACAGCGCAAATGTAAGTTGTAGCTGTGCAAGCTATCCGTATAGTCAATATAGCCCGATATATCAAAGCCACTCGGTTGGCGTACCACCAAAAAAATAATTGTCTAAAACCGGGAAATTTAATATTGTATTAAAACCTTATCCAATTCCGATTCTTACCGAAAGTTTTTGCAATAAATTGGGTACTTCGCGTTCCGCCAAGGCTCTGAGACCAGGATCATTCCCCTTTATATATTGGCCGCACTGCAAGCCCAATTGAATTCTCGGGTTTATCAATTCCAAAGTCTTATTTCTAATATATTCGAATTCATCACATTCATAGATTTTAGTAGTAGTTCGATAGCCAAGCTTTACAAATTGGGTAATAGCCTTCGAACTTTCCATATAACGCTGATCCTTTATTGAAATGAACGATTTGATGTAATCGGAATAGTTTTCAAACTGGAGTAAGCCAAAGTCCGGTCGAATAGGCATGGCGAAAGTATTTATTTTTGTGTTAGTGTAATTGTTATTTATTTGTTTTATATATTTTATTTATTATTATTTTATTTTTTTTATTTTCGTTTTTTTTTAATACAAATGTTTCATTTATGCGGAGTAAGTGTAGTTTTGTTCTGATTCTCTACAACGGAATGAAGCATGAAGCATTTTAGTCGGATTGATTTAATTCTCGTAGGTAAAAAGATGCTTTTTTTCACAATATGTGGTAGAATACCAAGATTAAGAATTTGGCTTTTACTATTAATTATTTATTAATTAAAAGTTTTGTAATACTATCAATATCTCTACACTACTTTTATTACCCATCTTTATTTTTGATTAATATATGACATAGTTGAAAATTACCAATTCATCTGAGGCCTTCCTCCATACATTAGTATTGAATTCGATTGGCGGAAAGCGCTGCAAGCGTTAAATTGGTTACTCAGCCAATTTAAAAATCTGTACAGAGTTTCTTCATTAGAAATTTGCGTTAATACAATATGAAAATGTTACCTTTAAAAAAAAAGAAGACAGTTAGCTATCTAAGAAGGCTTTCTAACGATATGGTCGTATAAAATTATACAACCGTACAAAGGCGACCGAATGAAAGTGCGCTTCACATTGTCCTTATGGGGATTATCCACCATCGTTACGGGAATGATCTTGTGATCGCCTTTATGCTTGAACGTGAGCGAGGTTCCACAACGCATAACCTCATAGTTGTCGCTATGATTGAAGTGAACGGTGCCGCTGTGCCAGTCATAAAAGCTCAAGTGGGTGCGATCGGGCTGCAGCAAAATGCGTTCCTCGAAGATGAGCCTCCAATTCGTAGCCCCAAGCATGTGAAGGGAACAGGCGCGCAAGCTGGCCGCGTAGTCTATATAACCCGATGTATCGAAGCCACTGCGCTGACGCATTTGAATGAAAATAATGGTCTAGGTTGGAGGCACTTTAAGAATTAGTTAGGTTATAGATTGGCTATCTTTTATTTTTTAGTTTACCGACAGCTTTTTTTGCATGTTGCGCTCCTCTCGTTCGGCCAGGGCAACTAAAGCCGGATCATTACCTTTCAGATAAATACTAAAAAGTGTGGTTATAATCGACTTGGGGTTGATCGATTCCAATACATTTTTTTTTACAGTATAAAACTCGTCCTCTTCATATATTGTGGCATTGGTGCGATAGCCAAGTTTTACCAGCGCATTTATAATACTTTTGTTGCCCAAATAGCGATATTCCTCAATCCTGGTAAACGAGTGCAGATATTGCTCATAGGTCTCAAATTTCAGGACATTGAAGTCGCCACGCACTGGCATTGTGATGGATCTTCTTCTAAAGTTATTTTAAATTTATTATCTGTATAGAGTGTGTTTTTCTGTTGTGTTTTAGTGTATCGTGTTTTTATTTTGTGTGGTTTTTGTATTTTGTATTTTGTTTGTACTAGGTGTACAGTTAGTGTTTAACTGAATTTCAAGTATTGATCTGTGCCTAAGCCAAGCAAAGCCTACTAAATGCACCAATCGCTCATAACTTCAAAATTGCAGTTTAAAGAAATTACAGTTCTCGCTCAAACTGTTCCTTTAGTTTAAAGGCTAACGTCATGAAACTTGGCCTATTATTCTTGAAGGGTATTTATTAAACTTGAATGCCAGTCTAGCCAAGTAGCATATAATTTTGACATTGATTAGAAATCATGCCTGTAATAGTAAACATCAAGTCACAGCTGCTAAGCATAATTAAAATCTAAGTTAATCCAAGTTACATTTTCCTTGCGAAAAAGATTAGTTGTTAAAGTTAGTTTTGCTTAGGAGAATTAAATGATTGAGGTTCCAGCATGTATTATTTATTAAATTATCAAGAGTTTCAATGCTGGTTCGCAGACCAATATTTCGTATCGATCGTATCGATATTTAGCGGCGCTTAGTGCAAGACTTTATTTCAAATTTCCACACTCTAGTTCGAAAACTATAAATAGGGATATTGATTATTCCGATGTATTATGCCCCAAGTGGGCGTATCTATAAATTCTTCAGACTTCTTATGACAAGGGTATACCCAAATATAATTAAATTCAAATTCAAGTATCTAGCTCTTCAGATGCATTTGGATTGAATTTGGAGACCTCAATGAGCAGACAGTCTGGACAAAGTTGTATAAAAATACATATTTGTTTGTATTTTATTTATAAAGGCAATGATATATATTTAAAAAGGCTTTCGGACACAATGGTCATACAAAACCATTAAACCATACATTGGCGATTCAATAATTGTGCGCTTCACATTATCCTGATATATGCTTTCCGTATCTGTGACAGGAACAATCTTATGATCGGTAGTGTGCTTGAACATGAGACGACCACCATAATTTATGACTTCGTAGTTGTCGCTATGGTTGAATGTAACGGTCCCTCTGTGCCAGTCATAAAAGCTCAAGTGGGTGCGATTGGGCTGCAGCATAATGCGACCCTCAAAAATGGCCCGCCAATTTGTAGCCCCAAGCAAGTCCTGGCTACAGGCGCGCAAGCTGTCCGCATAGTCTATATATCCCGATATATCGGAGCCATTGCGCCGTCGCGTTTGTATGCAGATAATGGTCTGTGTAATGATCAGTTAATGAACAAGCTAAAATATAGGTTAGTCATCTATTTGAGTATACCGATAGCCTCATTAGCACATTGGGCTCCTCCCGGTCGGCCAGGGCTACTAACGCCGGATCATCACTTGTCCGATAAACACTGAAAAGCTTTTCTATCACCTTTGGGTTGAGAAATTGCCGTAGGCGCTGCCTGCACTTAAGGAATTCATCCTTTTCCAATATTGGGACATGCGAACGATAGCCGAGCTTTACCAGCTCACCTATGACTTTTTTATTGCCCAAATAACGATGTTCTTCAACCTTAGCAAACGATTGCAGGTACTCCTCATAGGTCTCGAATTTCAGGATATTATAGCTGCCATGCATTGGCATTGTGATGGATCTTCGACTATGACTATTTGTATCAATATGTTTTTCAGGATATGTTCGTTTCCTTGTGTTGTGATGTACGCTTTATTTTGTTAGATTCGAATTAGTGTACGTATTTCTTTTTGTTGTTCAGTTGATGTATTATTCCAATTGGAATGTTTTACTGATCCTGATAAACCAAAGCTTACTTGATTTGCTTATCGAAAGTTTATCAAAAGTTAAAATTTATTATTCTTCTTAGTGTTAGCACCTTTTAATTCTTATCAATTTTATACAGTTTTGAGCAGTTATCAAATGTAAAAGTGATTGCAATTAATTGTTCCAAGTAAATTAATTAATAATTATTCAAGACTTAAATTTTGTTCAATTAAATCCCAACATTACTCTGTCATATTGAACTTTGAAATTTGTTACTCTTATTTTCTATTTATAAATTAAATTTTAATCAAAGTTTAACTTATTAATCTTCTGAGTATTTAAGGGACATATTGAAAGGTATATATTGTTTTTAAATATTTGTTTAAGTCTGATACATATATCTATCCATCATACATACTTCACACATCATTATGCACCCGTTTAGGGAACAGCGCCTTTCATAAGGAATTCAGCAACCAGTACAAATGGTGCTTATGAGCTGCTCTGTTTTGCCTGGCAGCGTAAATTACGCGCATAAAATGAACATTAGATTCATATTTTAATGTGCGCACTCACTCACAACCACACACACACACACACACACACACACACGTGTATATGTACACGCATATGTACTCAGATGCCATAAACAAAAGCAGGTTAACTGGAGCTCAACTCCTGGCACTGCCAGCAATATCTACAAAAAAAGGTTATGCCAAATAACCTGCAGCTATTACAAACACAAACAGTCACCCACACACACACACATATACTGGGATTTTCATAAGTGTGTGTGTCTACTTATTTCCATTACAAATGAGCTTATTATGCGCCCGAGTCACAAAGTCATTGCGACTTAAAAGGATTTGCATGTGATTAGCAGCACGAAATGTAAACAAAATTCTTGCGCCAAAAGACAAAAAAGAACAGAAAACAAAAACTTTTATTTTTAATAAAGCGCCGCACAGATGCTCTTTCTTTTCCGCTATTTTTACATAAGGCGTAAATTCGTTGAAGAATAATTTGTTTTCCAGTTTTAATGCCCGATGTAAAAATCTATTTTAAGATTTATTAAGTAAATATATACTGAATATATGAAATATTTTGAAAAAAATATATTATTTAAATATTTTGAAAATATTAAAAAAAATAATTCGATGCATTTTTCATGTACTTTTCATATTTTTGAAACCTTAAAATCAAGCTTTGACATAAATTATAATTTCTAGGTTTTTTTTAAAAGCGTTGCAAATTCTTTCAAATTGTTGGTGTTGCCCCCCTAAAGGTATTCTCTAACATAGGACGATTTGTAAGCACTTGATAAGTTGAGCAGCCGAAAATGTTACACACATCTCTTGGTGTGTGCATAGGTATAGGTGTGTGTGCGTGCTGCTTGTGTGCTCCATTGTGTATTTGTAGGTACTTGATATTTGTGTTTGTGTTGCGTATTTGGCAAATTGCCTTTGGCAAGGGGGCGCATTAAAACAATGAACACATCATAATCATAATTTTTGTAGCCTAATTTCTGGGGCATAACGCGTATGCTGTAAGTCAGAGTGTGCGTGCATGTGTGTCTTGGTTTCTATGTGTGTGTGCGCGCACGACAGACTGTTTAAATACAATGCATAATTTAGCCAACTCTGGGCTGGAATGACTGAGCAGAAGACAGGTTCGACTCGGCTCTACTGGCAATAGAAAATCGAAATCCTTAAACTCAACACTGAACCCAACTGTCTGACAGACGCCTTGAAGCCGACTTTGAGTGGCGCCTTACGCTTCAATTGTCCTGCATAATGGTGATTTCTTTTGAATAAGCCTCGACTGTCTGCACAAAAGCATCCCTGAGCAAATAGAAAAGCGACTTTGCATTTCTCCGACGTCTAATTGAAGTTGACTTAAAAGTGTTGCCGATAGACAGGTGTAAACGAAAGAAGACACAAAAAAAAAAAACAATCGATTTTAAGCTTAAGTTTTAAGGTGTGGGTATGCTTAAGTGTATATATTATGATATAAAAGAGAACTGTGAAATTATAGTATATACAAAGACAATTTAAATATTGTTATAGAAGTTTCGTTTTACAAATATTTGTGTCTAAAAGTTTTGTTTTTGCGTTTTGTTGAAATACCTTACTGATTGTTAATATTCAATTTAAACATTTTTTTTGCTCTGAACATAAATATTTCGCATTTCAAGCAACAATCAATTTCATGCCTAAAGGGTTTTCGTAAGGCTTGAATATTACTAATTTGTAATAAATATATTTTAAAAATATATAACAATTACAAAAAAAAAAAAAATGAAATTAATTAAATAAATACAAGTTTCGTTAAGTTTCGTTTGAATGTAAAAGACCCCAAGCGTGTTTTATAAAATTATTATTATGAATTAAATAAATAAACAATTTCGTAATTTTATAAAATTTGTGTGTTTCACAAGTTTATTTTAATGAATGCAAATATTTTACGCTAACTGACAAAATAATAGCATAAAACATATAAATATTTAACAAACAAATAAACAGTAGCATATTCTGTATAAATATAAAAAAACTTGGGTTGTTATGCTCAACATTTTCACGGCAATTAAAGCCGAATTGAATAAACTGGTGACTTTCGTATTTTTTTTTTTTTAAAATACATTTTTAAACTCAACTTTTTTGCTTTAATCCTTAATCTGCATTTAGATGTTCAAGTATCTTTGAGACGACCTTTAGCTAAGCTGCTATACAAATACTCATTTGAGTTGTGTATGGGTGTATATGTTTCTGCTTATAATGACGTCAACTGCGCTGTCATATAACAGCAATGACTGGCATTCTATACAGACACACACACACACACACACACCCATTGACACACACCTACCTCATACATACGTGCTTCAAGTGAGCATTCGCTCAACCTTTTGGGCAGACATCCATGAAAAAGCAAACAAGTCAAAAGCGAAAGACCAAATAAAAATATATAAAAAAGTAAAAAAAAAAACTCAGACAGCTCATGAATGCAGCCCATTGAATTGGCAGTTGGCACAAAAGACTAGACTCCAAGTTTAGCTAAAAGCCAAATAAGTAAATATGTGTGTGCGCGCGTATATAGGAAAATAAAAAGAAAATTGCGAAAATTGTTGTGCTTTTGAATAAATAAATCGCAGCGCAAATAAAGGTGAATGGCAAAATGGAAAAGAAGAAGACAACAAACTGAGAACACATTTGTGTATGACAATGGGCCACGATGACGTCAAAGTTCATGCTGGCCAACTTTTAGCTGCCCCAACTTATATCCAGTAATCTCCTAAGCAGTTGCCACCGTTTAAAAAAAAAAAACAGGAAGAAATATGTCGAAGAACGCAATTTAAGGCAAAGATTTCAACATCAAAGACTCGCCGCGTATCGCTGGCGTCACTTAAATTAAGGATGTGTGCCACGTGGCTGAGGGCCGACGGCTATTAGGCAGCACAAGAGAGTAAACTGTGCATAAAACTCAATCAAGTCGAGACAAGGAGTACAGCAACAAAAACAACAACAACAAGTACAAGGCAATCCACACACACATCAATAGCCTTTACATACCTCAACGCTCCGGCATTGTCCCTGCAGGCATGTCAAGCTCTAATGCCAACTCTGACACGCTCCGTATTCCCGGTGCTTTGGCCCTCCTGTTTAGAAATAGGAATCAGCGTGCAAGACAACAACGACAAAATCCTTGGCCCGAAATTCCACTGTTTTGGCAACAAAAAGTGCCCCAAACAAAATGTTAACCCAAGTATCGTGTGTGCTGCATCTTTGGCCCTTTTGCTGCTCGGGGCCTTAGAGACGCCTGCAAAAAAAAAACAATATAAAACAAACAAAAAAATAGGAAACAAGTCAAATAACTTAAGTAAATGTGCGAAAGGCCTTAAGAGCTGAACTCGAGTGTTGGCACACCCTGGAGCGCATGTTGCCCTGTTTAAATAAACATGTGATATGCAGCGACTTTCTTATGTTAATTTCATTTAGTTTATCTGAATGTAACATAAGTAGTTGTCGTTGGAGTCTGAGCCTGGAACTCAAAAGACATCTGGAACAATAAAATTGGTATGAAAATGAATTGGCCAATTAATTGGTATACAGGGAAATTAAAATGTAGACGAGTAGATTAGTAATTAAAGCAATTAAAGGGAAAGTCTAGGAAGAATAAAAGAAAATTCAATAAAGTATAGGAAATGTATCTTTAAAATACAAATATATATATATATTTTTTTTTTGTCTATTTTTTACCACAGCCTTTTTTCACCTCAGAAGCAACTAAAAAATAAATAAATAAAATATTTATTTGTTGATTTTGGTGACCTTTCCATTTTTAAAAGATTTCTTTAGCTGGCTCGAAGTCTGGGCTTAATTTATTCAAATACAAATTAAATTATTTAGCTTAAATAAATTTTTTGCGATCGAGGCAAATATATTAATTAATCAATTTTTTACGTTTATTCCAGATTAATTCAATTATGAATGTGCGTTTTTTAGCCAAATTTTGCCGATAGCCAGCTCTGTCAATATGAAAAACTATTCGAGACTTTTTTGTTTTCATTTTCATAGCGTTGCCAATCGATCATTTCATTTGAGCACATTTATTGAAACCCTCTTAAATCACATGCCACCTCGCTTGAATGATTTATTTGGGCACACGGTGTGTGTTCTCTCCGGCATTCACATATGTTTTCCATTGCCAATTTTCCATTTTAAATGCGAGCTAATTTATTAGCAGCCAGCGGCGAACAAACGAAGCGAGCACCTTAAAAATGTTGTAATAAATGTCACACTTGCCGTGGCAGACCAAAATTATTGCTACGCATTTGTCACACGCTTTTCGCAGCAGCTAAAACAAAGGGAAAAATAAATAATAGTATTAAAACGTACAAATAAATACGATAAATAAAAATATTTTTAATTAAAGTCTCACATAAAGCAAAATCAATTTGTACTTTTGTCTTTAAAAAAGAACACAAACGAAAAACTAAAGTTGTTCCAGAAAA